TGTCACCCACGGGAAAGGGGTTAAGATATTGCCGTGGTAAGATATGCCTGCCGTAAGAGTCAACTAAAATCTGTTTGGTATAATATAACTGTTTAGAGTATAAATGTTAATGAGTGAGTTTTACTTTCGATACTCGACTGGAGATGAAAAACTTGCACTACAGAAGTCAGGGTCCATAGCTGTGGTTTGTTCTGATTAAAATGACTTTATTTATTAATTAATTTCATTCAATGTAAGGTTTTTTTTTCAAATGTGTGATGTGCTCCTAAGAGCAGCAAAGTTTTTAGATGGGCCTCGTTCACTCTCAAAAATGAACTTATATCTAAACGTTAAGTTTTAATTTGTATGCACAGAACTCTTTAGAACTCCTTAGAAAGTTTTACTTGGCTTTCAACCTCTACATAAAGAGGTTTTTTCAAACTACAACAACAAACATTTATTTTTTTATTATTTTTATTAATTGAATTTTTGACTGACCATACAGTTGTTTCGAATTTTGCCAAATACACATCATCAGTAGTCTTCGAATTATTGTTTATATTTAATTATTTGTAAATAATTTTTTGAGGCTGCAAGTAGCAAGGGTTGAACTCGTGCCCTGCCAAATTTGAAGTTTAGAGTCAGCGCTCCTTAAACAACTGACTCAAAACCGTACTTGTCTTTTATGTTCGCACATTTTCCTACAATTTTGTTAATTTTCTATTAAAGTTTTATTAACAAATTCACTTGCTTGTTTATATTAGAACGAAATTATAAACCAGCTGTAGAATAATTGAATTAATTAATTAATAATATTTTTATTTTGAATTGTTAAATTTCAATACTATTCTGTTTGAACATATAATAAAGGCATTATTTGTTACATGATTTATATATTCTTTCATATGTATAAAGCCTGATCTAAGAACGTGATGCTGAAATGATAATATCATGCTAATATTACTCCACGAGTCGCACCAGTGAAACCAATATTTTGTGGATATAAGTTGTGATTAAATACATTGTAAATTCAAATATATAGTAATTGATAAATACCCATATTTTGATCTCCTAAATGCCACTTTAAATATAAATAAAACTTGAAGATACTTTAATATTTAAATAGTTTAGTTTAGCTTTATGAAAAATGTTACGACCAATGAGATAAGAGATATCAGCTGAAACGTTAGTGGTTCGGTATCACTTCTGAAAAGGCGTAATACAATTATTCTGCTATTTTTCTTTCAATCAAACTGTCTCGGTGAATTTATTCAATTTAGTAAATGTCAAACAAACTTGAACTTTCCAGCACCTGAAATGAGCAATTTACGAGGATGACACAATTTTACCAGCTCCAAAGTGAACAATTGCGCTTGTTTGCACTGAACTAAACGAAAATCAAACAAAGTAACTGCAACTTACAGCTACCACCCCTTCCCTATCCTCCTCCTCTCCTCTCCAACTCTCCTCCGCACCCTGTCATCTGTCACACTATGACCTTTGACCAGAACGCAGCTGCGGTTATAGAGCACGTCTAAGCTATTTGCTGAAAATAATTTTAACAAAGCAACAACGTACTGAGTTGAATTTGCAACTTGCCCTCATAGATACTGGAACGTATCCGCATCTCCGTAGAAATGTTGACAATTTGCAGAGTTTCCTAGAATTTGGTTTGGTTTGGTTTGGTTTGGCAAATTGAGCAGGTTGCACTTTTTCTTCGCTTTGGCGCAGTTTTTTTCAAGTCTCTTGTTTCCTTCGCCTTATTTATGCTACTTGAGCTAACAACGCATAGGGAAAAGCAACGACTTTACTGTGTTTATTCAATCAATTTTCCTTTGAGCTGATAACAGTTCCGTTCATCTGTGCGTATGAGTGACTTGCGTTTTACAGCACTGAAAATTGCTATATTCGCCCTCGGGGCAACTTGTCATTCTTGTTGCAGTGCGGTCGTCTGTCCATTTAGCTGCCTCTTCCTACTTCGATGTTTACAAGTTTCAACTTCGTTTTGAGTTTTACAGTAAGTACAATTATTAAAGAAAAAAATAATATAATTAAAAAAAATATGAATATATTTAATCTGAGCATAAAACGCTGTTTCGTCCATTATGTGGACGAAATAAAGTGTGGAACATGATTTTTTTTAACTATTCTTTATTTACACGAGCTTAATGAGACGGTTTCGAGTCTTGTTGGAAGCTCATTGGTCTACGACCGAAAGCAACTTCCGAAACATTTTGCCGATAATAATGCACATTTATTTTGATATCAGATTCAATGAAAATGATTGGAGAGTGTCCATCGATGGTCGTAGTCCCGAATTTTCAGCAGTCCCGAATAAATATGATCGTCTTGAGAGTTTATGAACTGCTCAATGGGGAAATTCTTCTCATTAGTAAACACAATGTTAGGAAGTTGGTCACATTAATGCAAGCGTAATAACTCCATTACTCTTTCGAGTCTAATTTTTTGTTGCTTTGGTGTAAGATCTTGTGCTTTTTGGAACTTGTAAGGCACAAACTTGTTACTTTGAGCTCATTTTGGAATATGCGTCGGATGCTTCGCTGATATATTTTCAGTTCTTTTCCCATTCGATCTCTATGACGTGCATTTCGTTCACGTCGAACCTTCACTCTCCAAACCATTTCAAGTGATGTTGCTGTTTTTGGTCGTTCACCACTATAGCGTTTGGTGACGCTTCCTGTACTATTATAACGATTTATGGTACGTTATGCAAACATTTTATTGACTTTAAGGTGTTTGAACTCACGGAAAATAGCTGATTGTGGTTGTGATTTTTCAGCCAAATAAAACGCAATCACACTATAACGTTTGAATTGCATTTCCAATAACTTTTCTTCTATAAAATTTAGACCCAAATTCTTGTGGTAGCTTGTAAACAATACAAACAGCTGTCATTCGTATGAATGTCTATGGAAAGTCTATGGAACTATTTCCAATACTCATTTCCTGTACATTTGAGATCCAATACAGTTAAAATTTAAAAGCTGCTTTGCATTTAACATAAATTTATTCTTACAACTATACAATAATAATTTGTTTAAAAATAAATGTTCAATAATATTTGTCAACTGAGATTTCAGCAGTGTTTCATTCCAACATCAGAATTTCAATTTGACTAAAGGTAATATTCAAATATAAAGCAGCTCGAACGGACCAAATTGCTTTTAAATTAAAATCAAATCCATCCAAGATTTAATATAGTTTATCTGAAAGTAATTTAGATAAAAAATTTAATTAAAAAATTAGTCTAAAATCAGCACAAAAAGTGTTCTGTGTTGTAGTAAAAAAATATTAATCTTGAAAAAACTACTTCTGTTTTTTTAAAACGCCTCTAATAATTATAGTTATTAGGCTAATAAAGATTAGAATAAGCATAATGGATTCATAAAGGATGTTAAGAATGTAGCTAAATTGAAGGTGAAGCTTTTTTGGAATAGACTACTTTAGTGATAACCCACTGCAGTAGGATTATAAATTGGGCTTGCATGGGCCTTCCTAAAATTTCGGTGCGCTGAGATATTACGGTTGATCTAAATGAAATGTTCAACTATTTATCACAAAAAAAAAACAAGAAGATTATTCCTATAATTAAGTAATAAATATCTTATAGTTCTTTGTTGATTCATTTTTTATTTATTATATCTTTCCAGATATAATATAATTTCAATTCTTTTTTATTTTTTGGTTGAGTAATAGTATGATTGCTTGTGGCATGAATCCCTTTTTAGGGTGACTATAATTGGGCACTTTGAAAACCTATATGTTAACAATTTTAGACACTCTTTAAAAATTTTGGATACTTTTGCAAAATTTTGGACATTCTAATTGGACATTCGTTTAAATAATAACCGTTGTATTGTCTGCAAGTGTTAGTGTCCGAATTTACAAAATGGAAGTTTTTATGCACGAATAGTTATTTCGCCAACATTTAAGCTTCTTTGAATCACAGGGAATAAACCCATCAGAGGAACTCTCTACGCTTAAATTTTAATACCACAATATGCATTACTGGATGATATATAAAGGATTAAAAATTAAAGTAATCCGAAGATTTCACTTCAGCTAAATTATATATGAATCCAGATCACTTTTAAGAACTAAAACTATTGTCAAATAGTTTCTTTTGAATCAATTTTTTTTAGTTTAATTTTTTTTTAATAATAACTTTATGCTAAGTATACAAGTTCATATAACAGATAAAAGGTATTAATCGATATTCACAAAAACTTACTAAATATATTGTTTAGTCCGTACATAAATAAATTTTCGGTATGAGTTTGTTTTAGTTCCTATTCATACGAAATTGGTAATCATTTACGTTAGGCACATGATTGTAAATAAGTGGTATATATCGCCTAAGAGGATTCCTATGGCGCTGCAAGAATAACATTATTGTTACACAATTGTTCATATATATATAATTATATGGTTAACTTACACGAAGAATGATCAACTTCTTGATAAAAATGAAAGTCAGTATTGGAAGTAGTAGAAACACAACGACTATGATCATCCACAATATGAATGAATCCACATTCAATTCCGAATAAGAGAGGGTACGCATTTTCGCTTAACTTCAATTATATCTGAGGAACTTAATTAATCGATAACTAATAGATGGACTACTTTCCTTTAGCTGCTGCAAAAAGAGAATTTCAGAAAACTATTTTTTGAAAATAATGACAATCTTCATAATTTTTTTAATGAACAATAAAATTTAATTCTTAAACAATACTTGGTTTTTATTTTAAGCTTACTATAATCTGTTTTTTTTTTTAAATAGAAAATAATATTTGTAAAGTTTTTATAATTCAGATAACTTTTCAAGGGAAAATGCTATAGTAGAAAGAGTCTTCAATTTTCTTCAAAATATTTATGAAATCATTTAGTTTGTGTTACTGTACAAAACTAGAAATTTTCATAATTATTTGGTACCTTTAATAAAGCTTAAGATCCTTTTTATTGAAACGTCCTATAACTGACGAAGATCGTTTAGAAAATAAGTTTCTTGATTGTATACACTACATTGGTAAGTGCCAAACCAGTTACGAAGTCCTTTCTTTGTCCTCACAGTTGCAGTAAGAATCGTGATTATACAGTTTATACAGCGCACCTCTATTATATCTTTACAGACCATCTCTATGAGGTTTCCAATTTTTGTCTTATATAAGTTATATAGTATCTATTAAAGCAACCTAACTAAACTCTTTCCTTTTTAAAGTGCTTTAGCAATCGTGTAGTTCGAGTACTAACGAGGTACTGTGACTTGCTCCAATGGTGACTTATTCTAACAAGTGGATTGTGCATGAGTTGCCTTGATCCAAGTATAGAAAAAGTTTATTTGACTACAAATGAAATGATTTTAACATTTTCAAGGCCATGTCTTCAGTGGTCCCGAAAAAGATAAAAAAAAAGTCGATCTTAACATAATAACTAGTTACGAACCACCATATGTGAGCTGATGAAAGTTCGAAGTTTAGTATAATAGACTATTTGCCTATTTCAAAACTAAAAGAAAGATTAAATACAGTATCATACTTAATAAATGGAATAAAATCAGTTTGCTGAAGAAGAATAAATGAAATAACAAAATCTTAATTTTAGAGATTGGGCTTACGTAAACAATTTTCAAAGTCAATATAAATTATAAAGAATTTCGCTATAAAGTGTTTCGCTATTTATGAATTTTAATCATATGTCTATAATTATTTACATCTAAGTTTTTTGTCAAATTGTATACAATATCATAAAAAATTAAAATTCTCATTTACTTTGTTTTTCAATGCCGCTATAAATAATACCTGACTCAACTAGGGTTGTATATAAGTTTAATATTACACGATATTGTTTTTTTATTTTCTTTTATTTTTGGTTAATTTTGTTAAGGTAAAAATCGACTTTAATAGTTTGAATAATGAAATGTACACAATTATTAAAATATTAATTATTAACCGTTTTTAATTCCTGAAGTTGTTTCGTTAATAAATATACGAATAAGAATATTTTGGGTGGCTTTTTTTTTTATTCTTCAGCTCATTGCATTAATATTTGAAAAAAAAATTATGTTTTGAAGAGTTTCATTTAAACTTCCAAATGTTTTTTTGCTCTAATATATACAAGAGTTGTACTAGTCAGAAGGTATAACAAAGTCATATTGACACTGAGAGTGCAGAGAATGCAATAAGACTTAATTTATCCTAACAAAGCTAAGGTTGGAACTGAATTCTTTCAAAATTACACACATACCTCAGTTTATAGACTTACCAGATTGGCTTATATTTACTTAAATGGAAAGTCGTACATTCTATGCGCAGAGCGTTTTGGTCTTTATGCCTGTCTTGCTGGCTTTATACTTGTTTTGGTGGTGTTATTAGTTAAAAGTATGAATAAAATTTCTATTCATTAAGTAAATATGATTTGCTTAACACAATCCTTCAGCAAGTTGTCCTGGAAAATAAGAAAATAAGTGAACGTACTTCTATGATGTATTACATATTTTCCTTCCATTTACCTTGAAATAGTTATTATCTAGACATGATAATAATGATAAAGTAAGAGCATATGATATCAAATAGCTCCTAAACTATCACCATTCTTAACTAACTATAAAATCTAATTACCAAAAGTATCCAAAAAGTGAAAGAACAAATTAGTTAAAACTATCAGTTTTCATAAACAGATCCAATAAATTCTGTTAAGGAAGCACAGCTCCGAAAACTAGGTTACATTGGATGCAGTGCCACGAAATATAATACATACAAAACTAAGCTTAAGATAGTCTACTTGAAAACTGAAGAGGACCTCTTGGTATACTATAGGTTCCCTTGACTTAACAGCGCCAACTATAAATTGCTTAGAATGATGTATACTCCATCAAAATGCACAGTGACTGACGCCAAAAAAAAAAGTTTGTCATAATGCGATCAAAAATTTAAAGTCCGGAAGTATAGCGAATAATTAACTAAACAGGCGAAATAACTTCAGTTCATTCATAGAACCCTGAACTATAAACCACTTCTGGACTGATCTTCTTTTGAAGTAGAGCTTTGGAGTTTAAAGACCCAGAACGATTTTGATTTTGAATCACACAGTTGAGGTGAGCTCTAGGAAAGCACAGTTTTTGTACAGAGCCAAGGATATGGAGTATCGAATTACTGAACTAAACCACTTTAGATGCTTATACGCCTTGACAACACAACTTTTATTTTGTAGTGTTAGGTCCATTAAATTTCTAGTTTTCCTACTGTTAATCTTATAAAAAAAAAACACAGATTTTTTCCGATTGTACAGAAGACTAAATATTTATTAGAACCAATATATGATTACACTTAATATTAAATACATTTTGAGTTAATTTGCTTAAATATTCTTGGCAGATTGGCCAATTTCTTTACAATACATCTTATAAAATAATAATTATAATAATAATTTTTATAATAATTTTTTTAATATTTGAATATTCTTAATTTTTTGTTTATTCAATGATTGATTGATTGGGTTTGTGTATATTCAAAATCCAGTAAATATAGATATATAAAGGTATGTTTCATAAATCTGTAGCGCACAATTGCAACGCACATTACTACACAAAATATAATATTAAAAAATAATAGCAAAATTGAAAATATTTCATATTTTAATACACTTTTTTTCAAATTTTTTTCAAATTTTTTTTTTTTAATTTTTCTTAAATTTAATTAGGTTCTTACGTTTAGGTACTTGCGGACAATTAGTATATGTTTGTATGTAAAAATATTTATATAGGTAATATGCATAATGTTCTCAGCTCTATAATCAATTCCATCCTGTTCATTTACTCTTTCTCTACTCTCTCTCTATCTTTCTTTCTCTTGTACGATTTCTTAAAATACTAAACGAATGGACATAATAATTTTTCTTATCATAAATATTTTGTTAATTTATATATTAATATTAATAATTGTAATTATATATAGGGAAAAGCACATTTAGTAGCACATATAGACATATGTATATATTAGTAAATATTTTTTTTATATTTATAAATGTTTAATGAAAGTTTTTTGTGGATACTTCCTCAGAGCCCAATAAATAATTAACTTTTATCCCTGCAAAAAACCAATTTCCCCTTAGCAATGAGGTATTGACAGTTTGTAAGCCTCTGCTTTAGTATAGACAAGCACTCAGTGCTTATAGGTTTTACAATTTGAAAGCCACTATTCACACACAAGAACGATGTTATTTAGCAGCAATGAGACAACAAATATTATTCTTCCGAATATATAAAGCATAAAAACTATGTTTTCGGTGGTCTTATAAAAAAAATTTTTACAATTAATTACGTACTAGTTATATAAAATTGAAAGTTAGGAGGAAACATGTATATATATATTAACATTTATGGTATAATAATGTTAGGAAAGAAAAATTAAAAATATATAATAGTAAATTTAATGTAGAAAAATTATGTTTAATATATTAAGAAGTTAAATTAAAATATTATTAATATCGATATTACAATAGACACAAATATGTTATGTGGTATTAATCGTAATTGTTATTATTATAAATATTTAAGTATTTATTTATTTAAATTTCTTTAAATTTATTTTAACACTTTTATTTGTAAGCGTTTAGTTATTTTGTGCTAATAGCAGATAACTGTCAGACAGTTTAAAAGACACAATTCAGTGCATTTCTTTAACAGTTTGAAGTAAATAAAATTGTTTCAAAGATCAAATCAGAATCAGTTTGCAGTTTTAATGTAAATATTTATTAAAATAGTTTATCTTCAAACATTATAAGTAAACAAAAATAAATTCAAAATTATTTAAATTTTTTATAGAAATATTAACTGTGGCTATTTAGTTTGTTGCAAAAGCATTGATAATTGAAACTTTGTATTTACAGTTTGAATAACATAAATATGGTTTAAAACTGTTTTTTTATGAGTTCATTTAACATTCATGTAAAACATATTGTCCTTAAAGTATTCTATGGACGTGTGCGAATTCAATTAAATTGATGTTAAATTGATGGAAATAGTAAATTATGTCGGTATGGCAGCGAATGTTGGTATTTACCAGAATTTCGAGTAGGGTAAAATAGATAAAAATTAGATAAATTAGGTATTGTCATTGTGAAAATTTTTTAAAATATTTAATAAACAAATAAATAAATTTGAAAACTTTTTAACAAAAATAATAAATAACTGCAATAAATAAATAAATAAATTTTTACATAAGTGTTGTGCAAAAAATTCCTAGAAAATTTCAATTACTGTACCTCAAATTAATTTTAGAAAAATTACAAGAAAATTTTTATTTCAGTTAATAAACTTAAACGCTTGTGAAACGCTAGTGAAACGCTTGTTTCACAAGTGTAAACAATTTATATATGCCAATACAGTAGAGGAGTAGTGGAGTAGTACATGATGTAGTGTTTTTACAACTCCTAATTAATGATTCTTAATAGCGATCGTGTGAATTTCAAATACTTGTTACAGTGAACTACTGTTATTTAACTAGCAAAATATTATCTATTACGTTTTAAAGGAATAAAGTTGGTCAACGGTGTACTGTTGTCACCTACAATATATGTACTGTTGTCCATACATATAAGCATATTGAAGAAAATGAAGTAAAACTGGGCAATGCATATGTGATACTGAAGAAAGCAAATTTATGTCCCTAAGGTACAATACTACAACTGTTGTCAAATATATTTTAGAATTTTTTTTTCTTTCCAATTGTTTATATGAGCAAATTAAAGTTATTTAATATAATCAATTTTTGAATGAGAACTCAAAAAGACCACCACTACGATTTGAATAAAACTATTAGTTGTGTGGCTTGTCATTGCAGTCATTCATAAAAGTTTGAAAGTCACTGTTTGAACTTATAAAATTTTTAAGTGCAATAAATTTTTAAAATGTGAATATAAAATAATTGGCTTTTAGCTTACATACTGTGCTTACTTATGACTGTGTAGAGACCGTACACAAAAATGTTTAGTTTGATAAAGAAAACATAGAATTTAACACATAAAATTAGATATGGAACTCCATGCATTTGGGAAGCACAATAACATTGCACAAACATAGAGACAGAATGCATGCTGTTGCTTTAATATTATCAAAAACATGGAAATATATTGATATTGTTGTTGTGACATTGCTGCGGGAAACCTGTTCACTGTTATTCAATTTAAATTTCAACAACAAAAGAGTCAAGTACGCAACCAGTTTCCACAGTTTAATGAGCACTGGTTGGCGTGTTGTTCACAGCACGTGTGTTATTAACATCCTGTAGTGGTACCCATTGTGCGGTGGCGCTCTTGGAACGGAACATTTCATCAAAGAATATTTTCTCATCTAAACGTACTTCAGAAGAATTGCCAATTAAAGCGCGTCCAAGTATTTCACTGGAACCTAAATATTATTACATGACATAGAATTACACAAACAAATGTAAAATAAAATTCTGTTTCAATATGCAAGATACACTCACCCAATAAACCATCATGGACTACTGTGAACTCAATCATTGAACCCTTCAAAGTTTCCTTGCTGATATTAAATGTCAAAGCCTCATTATAGACCGGATTGACGGTATTCCGTGATACACCAGTTTTGCGTTTCTTCATTTTCTTACCGCCAGTTATAAGTGTAACCTTTATGTATGGGTCTGAAGAACTGCGTGAGTCATCAACAATTCGTAAGTTTCTTGCTTTTATAATAACCACAGTCAAACGTTCAGCAGATGGTAGAAATGCTAGTGAAACCATTATATCACCCAAATCGACTTTCATATCCTATTCGTAAAATAGTTACACAAAAAAAAATAAATGTTCTATATATTGTTCTACAAAAAAAGAGTGATGTGCTTACCTGATCAGCACAGGAGCCAAGTGGTGTCCAAAGTTTAACTTTTTCGCTTAGATCTAAATCGCCCAAATGAATTTGTGCGCCACCAATGCAGACATGTCGGGAGTAGGCATCAAAGTCATACAATAAGATTTCAATAGTACGTTTATCAATGACATTAGCACTCTCTTCGAAAACGAAGTCCTCATCGAAAACTGCACGAGAAATTTATTTTTAATGGCAATCAAGAGTTATTAACTATACATTGGTTTAATATATGTTCAAGGTATGCTCACAATTGGGTCGGTCTATGTACCAATTCTTTAGCGAGTTGCCCTTCTTAAGTATCCGAAAGCCTTAAGCGCGGTGCAGACTATCATTTTTGAATGTCAATCATATTGCGCTCTCTCTTGCTCAAATTTATTCTATCGACAGAACTTGAACATGCTCACAAGCAAAATTTTTGAAGAATAACGGTGTTTACGCACACTGTAAGTGTGTTTCGCAAGATGTAAGTGTGTTAGTGCAAGTTTCTAGGTGACAAACTATCTATCATTTACAACATGTTGAGGAGAAGTTGAATGATGTGTTCACCAAAATTTTGATGGGCACACCAACATGTTGGTTACTTGTCATTCAAAGGTGCAGACTAACATTTTTGAGTGTCATTCTTAAATTTCTTCTCTTGAATGACACTCAAAAATGATAGTCTCCACCGCACTTTAGATGGTGCACTTACATTGTCAATGTAAAAAACTTTAGCATACATTTAGGAACTTTAGAATATTTGGAATATTTGGATGATATACCCTTGAAAGTTCCTGCCTGGTAAATATGTGTGTTATGCATGTACCAGATAGTGACGAAGCAGATGTAAAACGCTTTTTACATCTTTCTTAAAGATGTGACAATAATCACAGAGTGAAATCTTCAATTTCCTAACATAGTTTTCAAAGCTACAGTTATCTGCTACTAGGTATACACATTAAAAGAGTGACACTTGAACGGACGGTATCATTAAAATTACAAGAGTTTTTTTTTATTTTAAAGAAACCTACTTGCAAGAAGACACCTGACTGGTGTTAAATCTATCCATTATGTATTAAATTACTGAATTAAAAGAGACGTTATCATTGTTTCTATGTTGGTCAATTTATTCATAGATCATTCCAATGAGCAGAATCTGTTTTAGAGTTATCCATTAATGAATTATTTGAACTCATATGGATTGTAATTGTTTGCGATACCCTTACAATTTAGAATCCATAGAAGACTAACATTTTTCTGCATCTAAATTTCATCAGAAATGGAAAACTCTCCTAAATGTAATCGGGTCTGAAGTCAATATCTGAATATTGGAAATATTAAAATTTCTACTATTTCGAAGAGCATTGAACATTGTCCACTTGAAAGATGCTGCAGCGTTCAAGAAGACTGCAACAAGTGAAAATTTCTTCCTTTCTCAAGAAAACTTGAATATTTTTCTGATAACCATTTTAAATCCGCCCATATAATTGGATAAACACTCTTTTGAAAAAGGATTTTCCGATAAACAGATATATGTAAAGGGAAAGTTGTTTACCAATTTTCTTTCTCGAATTTGAGAATCGATACTATAGAATCAATTTATTTTAAAAAACAATTTAAAAGATTCAAAAATAAAATTATTATTTAATTATTATAAATAATTAAATTAAAAAACAATTGAAACCATATATTTTGTAAAATATTCTATAGAGCAATGGATCATTTCTTAAAGCTGTTAAAGCTATGTTCGCGGTATATGCAATAACTTCGTACTCCTTATCCACCAGACGTTTCTAAATGGTAAAAACCTCCCTGAGATCTACTTATAGCTAACAGTTAACTTAAAAAAAGTGATTAGTAATTGCGATATAACATGGTAATGGTGTTGCCGATATTAATTGCTCAGTGATAATAAAACTAATCAAAGATATTTTACAATATAACCTCATAACAAAATTCGATACCCTGAGTTACTCTTTTAATTATTTGACCTTAACTTACTAGGGTTTAGAGTTTTTTTATGTATGCGAGTTTGCCAAAAATTTTTCTTCTCCGGTAGCAGACGTACTTTGGCGTACGGATCGGCAGTACCACTGAAATCTCTTGGTTGCAAATTTTGTGCCTATAATAATTGAAAAACAAAGTTTTTTAATTAAAAAAAACATTTAGGATATTAATAAGTTCTACAAATACTAACCTCAATAAGACGTACGGACAATATACCTGCAATTGGATCATACAAGATACTAACATGTATGTTACCGCGAATCTCATCGCTACCATCTGGTGAGCCATTCTTCTGTTGTGAGTTCTAAAGGAAATATTAAAAAGTAATTATAACGTGGAGTGTATGATATCAATAAATACTAACATTTCTGTATAATGCCATATCAATTTTGGTATGGTCTAATTTTGTATTCATTGATGAAACCTTTGGACGTATGGGATTCATTCCGAGCACAACATGTTTATCGGAACGAGCAATTGGCACCGAATTAGTTGACGACATGGACAATGTATTCGATTTGAGACTACCGGTTGGTGAAGTTGGAGTTGGTGGTGGTGATTCGTCAGCTGATGTTGAAACCTGTTGCTGTACAGTTTTTGGTGGAGGTACCCAGAAAGTGGGATCATCAGTTGTTACCGAGGTTGGGCTCAGATTGCCTTTGCCTGTGGTGCGTGCACATTCGCTTATGTTGTCTACATTGTAACCAGCTGTACCAGCGACTAATGCTTCGCAGCTGTCAAATAAATTTTTTTTTTGTTTTGACTTACTTTGTTTTTGTATTCCTAATTTTTATTGTACTTACCTGGGCTCTACTTCATCAGAACCTGTTGCAGATTCGAGTAAATTTTTTTCGAACCAATTTAGACGATGTTTTTTAGAGCATGAAACGTAAAATAATCCGCCTACAACTGAAACCAACAAAAATGATAAGCAGGCATAGATCCCAACCTGAGGTAGGGAGATATCCTCAGTATCTAACGTCAGATCGACCATATTGACAATGAGTAGTAACGACTTTTAGAAGGAAGTTTATAACTAAAATTAAAAGAAAAATGGCTTGTTTTATTTTTACTTAATGTTTATTTAAATGATATTAATTATTTTAAATAATGTTTATCTAAGTTGTTCTATTTAAAAGTGATATATTTTATTAAAAGGAAACTTCAGACCTGAAATAGAAGCGAAGGAAAAGTAAAACCAATGAACTACAATTGTTAAGTCTAATTTTTTATTGAAAATTGTTACTAAAAATATCAGCCTGCTCTTAACCTTCAATAGTGATAAGCATGTGTCATATTTTCCACATCGTTGCGATAAGTTTTACGATTTTGTCGAAAATGGTAAGTATATCTATAATCGATTTGATGATAACTATCGACGAGGTGTGCATGTTGAACTCGTGTTCCAATATCTCACGTATAAATTATTTGCAAAATATTTATGTTATCGTATTAGATGAATCGCTATATTTGCATTAGTGAAAAGTATCTGACTTGGGGTCGCGTGTGCTTTTTCCTCACAAAACAACAACACAACAGCACAGCAAAAGTCACATGTCACGATAAGAACGCGTCTCTGTCATATTTGTCTTACTTTAGCGGATTAATAAAATTTTATAACATTTAATTTCAGCTAATGTGACTGATAACTATGTCCGCGGTGATAACATTTGCAACATTTCCCGACAATGCACAACGCAAATGTGGAAGCTACTCTACACGCCCATTCCTCATCCACGGTTATCGTGTGCATCCATGATGTCAGCCCTGATAAATTGTATTCCATCAACAATTTCGTTAGTTTGAATTTATGGTGAATTTTTATTCATTTTTATTTTTATTCTTATTTTTATTTTTTTTATCATTTTATTTTCAAGTTCATATGAAACAACATTTATCACATTCATGAGGAGTGAGGAGTGAACAGTGTTACTTTTGACACACGTGAATTACCTGTTGGTCGTTGCACGAAATAAATTACTAATACACCACAGGAAAATGGTTGGTACATACATTATAATCATGTGATGATGTGATTATGCTAAAATCAATCATTTTGTGAATCATTTGGCCAAATTAAATATACAAAATATATCTAATATGCTGATATACACATAAATTACTACATATAAATATAATATATATATATATATATCATGAGAGGTTTCTTTAGCTTCTTGATATGGTCTCAATAAAACATCTAAATCGTATGCACGTTTGCAATAGAATTAAATATAGAGTATAGTATATATATATATATACAAAAACACATATGTATTTAAACATTTATATATATAAATGAACATATTATTCTTAATATTATTATGTAGGAGGAATTTGTACAGAGATCTAGTCCTGTTATACCCCCTTAATGAGATGGATGTATATCTTCGAGTACAACTTCTTTCATAATTTGTTAACTTGAACCTACAATACAGAGATTTTATTTCTTCATCCCATATGAATTGTACATTTCGGTATTTCTTTTGTTTATACATCAGTGCTTGGCAACCTTCTAATACGTGTTTTAAGATCTTATTTTTTTTCAAATTGTCATAAAATATGTATCATAACCATCAATTTCTTTAGCGCATTCACTAGAATAGAGTCTCAGTAAAACATCTGAAGTATGTGTGGTTTTGTGCTAACACTTTATCCCGTTTCACTATATAAGCACACATGATTTTTCATCTCTCTAATTATTGTATACCAGAAACTATACCTTTTGAGCATCCTCTTCTTCAATATCCGTGCTGAATTCAGTTAAGTGCTTGCTGTAATCGCACGGTGTGATTTCTGTAGAGTGTAGTGATTATATGGTGTCCTTTTTTGATATAACATCATTTGACTTAAACATGTTCATTTATTGTCCATGGTTAATAAATGTTTAGGGCATGAGGAAGGTATCTATCAATAAATATATGTGATTTACTATGGACTGAGTCTTTGGTCAACCAAGTCTCACACCCATTAACTAGCACCGATAACACATTTTAGGATTTTACTTAACTGCATCTTTGTTATCATTGACAAAAACTTAACTAACAATTAGATTATATGATCTTTAAAGGGTGGTATGTTATATATTGTTAAAAATTTAAACAAAAAATCTGCACCAGCTGATCACAAACTGCTGCTGATTCATTCGGATGGTTTTGTAGCTAACATTACTAATACAGATAGACGCATTACCCAAAAACTAAAAAATTGTCACAATTATAGTACTTCAGAAGCCAGTGAGAAATCGAAATTCCAAACTAAATTCTTGATTGCAAGCTTGCTTCGCCAAATTCCTTATTAGATTGAACAAAGCTGTCTGGTTAGTTGAAGAGTCTCGCAAGGTTCTTCTCATTCTCATCAGATATTCAAAATTCCCTAGAGAATAAAAAAAGTATACCTAGTATATGATATTTATAGATATCTTCCTCTTATAACCATGAGCAAGTACATAAATTTTAGTGCGTGCAAACTATTCAACAGAATAGAATGTCATCTTAGCTTTACTTTAGAAAATTGTCACGATTGTACTCGTAGTACTTCAAATGCCAGTGAGGAAGACGACTCATCCTATGGAGCGAAAATTTGCCAAAAAGAGGTTTTATAATAAAATTAATGTAGAGTACTTGGCTTTTTCAATATTTATATACTTGGGTTTTTCAATACCTACAGTAAAGGACACAGCTGTCACTACCACCTGTAATACACAATTTCAGACACTTCAAACTTATTTAAACTTATATTTCTAAGGCGTTATGTGGTGTCCGCTAGACTAGTAGTCTCCTTACCACTTGGAAGATAGACTGCTGCTATAGCTGTTTCTTCGTTATCGTCTATAAGTCTATAAGAAAAGCGAAGAAATCTATTAATTGCATGCGTTTCATATTGAGGTTTAAGTCATCGGTTCTATTAGCGTTCATTTTTAGGGTCTCTGTTTTTTTCCAGATTGACTTTAAGATATGAAAGTATTGTATACATTTTACGAGTATAAAAATTTTTATATTGGACGATGTAAGAAGTTTTATATTTTTGTTTGCTGCTTATGCCACCTAAATAAAATAATAATAATAAAATAATAATAATTTTTTTTGTGTGTATTCTGAAAGAATTTAATTTTGGCTACTATTTATCTAGACAAGTAAATCCCTATTATCGAAGTTATAAATAATTTTTTGCTTTTTATATCTCTTACTTATACCGTATTTGGGTCTGGCATTCGGTTGAATTTTGCCAACCTTCAGCTGTGAGCATCTCACATTGCTTTAATTAGAAATTTGTAATGAAAATCAAATAGACAGAAATGAGAAACTGTTAACAGTATCTAAAATTAATTTCGTTCTAATCGATAATAAAATCTGCACTGATTGTTGCCTTCATGCACACAAAAATTGCTACTAATGTATCTCATTTGGGTAAGTTGTGTCTATTGTACGCCTAGGGCCTCGGTTCTGATGCTGGCTCCATGGCGCGTTTCTGAATTTGATATTTGTGGTGGCGTTGGTCGTCAAATTATTGCAAATTAAAACGTACGCCTCACTGAGCATGTACGGCAAATTTATAAATATGTAGTTCCATAACCGTTATATGTAAATGTATTTCGGAAAGCCATGAAATATCATCCTTCCATTTGAATGGAAATTATATACCGCAACGCCGAGAGACTACAGCAGTAGTCATTTGTTTGGCATTTGTTTAAATAATACGAGTAATTGTGGTTCTACGTTTAACTGATTAACTCAAATTATTTACTCAATTTTAATTGATTCCGTTTTTATATTTATTTATTTATTTTTGGTCCAAATTATTTCATTTCAAAAAGTATCAAAATATTTATTTTAATTTTAAATGGCATAAATACTTGCATTTGCTGAGCTCCAAGCGTTTTTGTGGCATGCCGCATAACTATTGCATTCTTTGTGGTTTGTTTGTGCCACCAGCAGAATTTAATGTTATTAACAAATCCTTAAAGTTCAAATTAATATTTTGTTTTATGAGTTTATTTATCCACATGAAAGGACCTTATTCCATACTCAGTCTTAAGCATTGTGAATGCTTAATTGTGTTGAAATATCCCACTTGTTACAAATATTTCTATTTAACTTCTTTCTATTCTATTTAACTTCTATTTACTTTATTTCTATTGTATTATATCCATTAAATACTATTTGAGATTAGTATGCATTGAAGGATTTCCATAAAACTTAAAAGTAGTTGAGGCACTATTCTTAAGAACAAAAAAAAGTGTAAATTAAAAACAATGAAATTTAAAAGAAATAAAAAGGATAAGAGAAGATAATTATAGAAGAGTATAGAAATAGAAATTACTGCCATTTTACTTCTGTGTAGAAAAATATTTATATATATTTTTAAAAATTAACAACTTTGTTATCGTCAGTGCGCCTAGGTTTCTTTACTTCCTTCATTTTCATAGTCGTTATTTGTTCGGCTTGTCTTAAATGTTCACTTAGTAGACGTGCACTTAAGTATTTCTCTAAAGGCGATTTTCCAAATTGTCACTATATTTCATTCTTTTAAAGAAAAGAAATGCTGTACAAAGAAATTTAAGTTTTTTTCACATTTTTTGACTATTCAATGGTTTTAGGTTCAATAAATTAAAGTTCAAGATTTTGGGTTTTAAAGGGTTAACAAAAAATTGACACGAATTTTATGTTTTCATTCAAATTGCAACTAATGAACATTTTGACTTTGATCACACTTTTCCAGACTCTTAAATTTCTTCCTCTGATTTGCTTTAAATCAACCCGTAAAAGAAAAAGCCTTCTAGAAAATACTTGAAAAATTGCTTTTTTTAACAGGAGAAGAGAAGAATTTTGGAAAAAACAAATGCCAGACAATTGCTAATATATTAGTAGCAAAATTCACTGAAGATTTGGTAACGTTTAAAATAAATATTTCTCATTAATACTTTAAAACTTCTAATTTTGAACTTGAACTAGTTATTGCTAAATCTCCAGATGTCTGGGATCTATTTCTACACATCATACTACTCCCCCAATAAATATATATATATATA